TCCACTAGGTTAATAGAGCATTACTTAATGACAGTGGGAGATGCCTGACTCTCCTATCATATCTGGGATCAACTGCATAGCCTTGCTCTGGACAGTTAACATCCTCCAGTCCTACCTTTGACACCTGAAGAGGTCTTTTCTGCTCAGAGCCCCCCTGCAGCCTGAAGCCCCAGGGGGCCCCTCCAGACAGCGTGACCAGCACCTCCTCTTCAGCTCCCATGACTTCAGCACTTTTGGTTTCTTTCCTTCTCTGATAACCTCTTCCACTCTTCAAAGCAAAACCCCAGCTCTTACAGGGTGGCAGCTCCCCCTTCCATCTCCACAAATGGCATCCACCTCCTCTGGAGTCCCCCGAAAAGCCCTCTCCTCACTTTCTCCCTCAAGCTCAGACACATGAGAGGAGAGTTCAGACCGATGAGCCCAGCCCTCCCTGCTCTTCTGCACTCTCAGCTGCTGTGCTGCCTATGATTAGGTATTTGATTCTGCTTTTGGTAAGGGGCCAGAGTTGTCCCTCACACGTGTCACGTCAATCTCACCCTCTCTGCCCCCCCACATGTACCATGGATCTCTCACCGACATGTGGCTGAAAATAGCTCACCTCCTGTCCGTCTCTAGAGCTTTGTCTCACACCCTTAAAGCTGGAGGGATTTCATTTAAGCATTTCAGTTAAAATGGATATTTCTACCTCTCACTCCCACAAGAACTCCTGGGTTCATACAGCACTCAGGAGTCATTAAAATGACAGCTACAGGAAGAGATATGACACTAGATCAAACTCCCTCACAGCAGGCTCAGTTGTAGCGCCTGCAGGGCCGGCTCTAGGATTTTTGCCGCCCCAAGCAGAAACAATTTTGGCCGTACCCCCCTCCCCCCCCGTTTTTTTCTTACCCCACCCCCGGCCCCGCCTCAGCTCCGCCCCTTCCCCAAATCCCCAGCCCTGCCTCCTCCACCCAGGCTCTCAAGCCTAGGAGGGAGGGAGAGAAGTGGCGCGCGCGCTGCGGCCACTCAGAGTCTCCCCCTCCCTCCCAGGCTCTCAAACCTGGGAGGGAGGGGGAGCAGCGGCGCGCGAATCAGCTGTTTCGCGCGCCGCGGCCGCTCGGGATCTCCCCCTCCCTCCCAGGTTTGAGAGCCTGGGAGGGAGGGGGAGCAGCAGTGCGCGAATCAGCTGTTTCGCGCACCGCGGCCGCTCGGGATCTCCCCCTCCCTCCCAGGTTTGAGAGCCTGGGAGGGAGGGGGAGCAGCAGCGCGCGAATCAGCTGTTTCGCGCGCCGTGGCGCGCGAGCGGCAGCAGCGGAGGTGAGCTAGGGCGGCCAGGGCACATTTTTAGGGGCGGCATTCTGGCGCCGGCCATGCCGCCCCTAAAAATGTGCCGCCCCAAGCACCAGCTTGTTTTGCTGGTGCCAAGAGCCGGCCCTGAGCGCCTGGCTCAGGGAATTTGAATGTGATCACTTTTGGAGAAACGCTTTCTCCTTATATCTGTGAACCCTGGCAGGATCTCCTCTTACTGTGCATTCCCCCACAGCCGGTGCATTCCCTCCACAGCCAGCCCTCCTACTACTCCTGCTCTTAAATGGTGTGACTACACTATATATAATTATCCACATAGATGGGGTTCTAATTCTCCTCTCCGTGGCTCCTGGGGAATACCCTGCATGTGGGGGGGTTCCTGATTGGCATGGAGCTGACAGAATGGCTCTATGACACCTTCCCTCGCAGCCACCATTGTGGGGATATGACACCCATGGCTGGCCAATGCGAGCTGACTTGGGCTGTTTAACTGAGGTGCAGGTGTTAGAGCTCGGCCTCCCCCCTTGCAGGGTCCTAGAGCCCAGGCTGCAGAGCCCAAACATCTACACTGCAACTAAACAGCCCCTTAGCCTGAGCCCTGTGAGCCCAAGTCAGCTGGCATGGGCCAGCTGTGAATTTTTAATTGCAGTGTAGACCTACGCCCAGAGTCCCTAGAGGGCCATGGGCAGACCAATCATAAATAAGAACAACCCTGAGGCTACTCTGACCTCCACCGTGGATCAAGTGGGCCCCCGGTTAGCCCCAGAATAAGCTTACAAGGGAGGCTGGCGAGTTCTGAAAACACAGGAAATGCAGAGTCCATATGGCAGTTTTTCAGCTACAGAGATTGCTGAGCACACAAGGGTTAGCAGCCCAATAGGGATGTTTTCTCTAAAGGGATTACTGAACCTTTGGTGCAGTTACAAGCACTTATGGAGTCTGATTTGGCAAGGTGTGAGTACCCTCAACTCCTAACTGGGATTTTTTCCCCATTCTTATAATAGCTACCTCTTAATCTCATATCTGCTTGCTAGAGCCTTCTGTTGCCGTTTTCCAGTCTCTCCCTCTCCTTTACTTTACAGCTACGCATAGCTGTGAGAATGCAGGGGACCTGTGGCTGCTCTGAAAGGGATATCACTAGGATATTAAAAAGTGTGTGTGGAGGACAGTATGTTGCCTCAGTTTCTCCTTCCCCTCCCCACAAGTGTTTGCACCTATACATCAGAATAAGGACCCAAGTGCAGATTGGATCCTTGTTTTAACACATGCTGAAATCCTCCCTCTGGCCATAGGTTTCGGGTGGAGTGGAGACTGCTGATATTTGGATTGACTGATGGAGTGGAGTAGGCAGAAAATGTGCATGTGTGCAGCTTTCCCAAACTGCCAGCAGTATTAGAGAGACGTGAAGAATGGGGAAGGAATGAAAGGAAGGACATGTCTGAGATTGCCTGGGAAAACAAACAAGGAGAAATACAATCTATGTCTCTCTCTAGTACCATGCAAATCTCCCCCAGTCCTCCGTCAGGAACTTCTTAATTCTGCAAGATCCTTGGGGCAAGGACCTTGTCTCATCTGTATTCTGGACAGTACTGAGCACATTGTTAGGCCTCAACATATAATAAATAGTAATTGTTCTACAGTTCTGTATGATGGCATTTTGACATGATACCTTCACATTGCATCACAGCGTGATGAGATTTTGCTAAGACTATCACTTTGTGTCACCTTTTGCTGTGATTTTGCCATACTGTGTTGCTGTGTGCTGCAACAATGTCAAGCTGTGCTGCCATGTAATTACTCTTATTTGCAATGCAATTACATTTTGATGTGAAATTGGCAGTGTGTTTTTGTGTGATATTTTAATGTGCCACTGACACATTATGCTGCCAAAAAATCAGCACACCCTTTTGTTGCACAATGATGTTTTGCTGCAATGCCATGTTGTGTTGTGATCATATAATGGGCTACACCTTACCAAAGAACTGTTGTGTAGCAGTGCAACAAAAACTTTCATATCATTGAGCCCATAAAAATGGCTGCTGTGACCGTTTTCATGACCATCACAGCCACTCTAGATCATGGCTACTGTCACTTCATTGGGTGAGCGGCTCCCAGCTGTCCTTGGCCCCATTGGGCTAGCAGCTTGTGGCTACCATGGCCCCACTTGGACTTGTGTGGCCCATAGGGTAAGAGGCTGGTAACTCCATTGGGCTTGTTGACTCTTGGTGACCCCACTGTCCTGTGGCCTATTAACCAGCTGGTGACCCCACCGAGTTAGTTCATGGCCAATTCAGTGAGAGGGTGGTGACCCCACCAGGCTTCTGGCCCACTGGGCAAGTGAGGTCATTGGCTCTGGGGCTGGTGAACTCATTGAGCTTGTGTTGCAATGAATGAGTGGCTTGCAGACAATTAGATGAGTGGCCAATGATGTGGTTCTTGTGGCCCACTGGGTGAGTGATTGGTGACCCCAGTCAGCTTATGTGGCCCATTTGGTGAGTGACCCCATTGGCTGTGTGGCCCAATGGGTGAGTGACCCTCATTGGCCAAGTGACTCCATGGGTGTGGTCCAATGAGCGAGCAGCTTGTGGCACCCAGGGCCGGCTCCAGGCACCAGCAAACTAAGCAGGTGCTTGGAGCAGCACATTTTCAGGGGCAGCATTCCAGCCAGCCTCTTTTTTTTTTTTTAGCGCTTGAGCGGCAAAAGCCTAGAGCCAGCCCTAGCAGCAGCAGCGCGTCCTGCACCGGGGGCACCCTGGGGCCGCTGCGGTTCACGTCGGGGAACAGCGCCCACACCTTATGGCTGGGTGGGCTGCGAGCACGGGACACTCGGGCTGGGGGCTGCCCCTCGGGGCACACGGAGCCGCTTGCAGGTGCCTCAGGGCGGCCGCCTCCCAGCACCACTCAGGGACTGTGGCAGGGCGGCCAGGAGCAGCAGCAGAGGGGCCATAGAGGGCGGGGTGCTGCCGTGTGGGGCCCGCGTCCCGCTCTTCGGGGCTCCGCTCCCTCTGGGGCTGCCCTGCCCCGGCTCCTCAGCCCCCTGCCGGGGCGGTCCCCCGGCTCTGTTCTCCCCAGTCCCAGCAGGTCCTGGAGGCGGGAGCCCCGGCTGGAGGGACCCTGGGCTGAGGCGCGGCCCGGGAGGCCCGCTGCTTACCCCGACCCTGCCAGCCCTGGACCGGCTGGAGGTGATGGGGGAGTGGGCGGAGTCAGCGCTGGTGGGGGGAAGCCCAGCGCTGGGGCAGCAGGTGGTGCAGGTAGGGTGGGGTGGAGAGCCCTGGGTTGGGGCAGCAGGGGGTGCAGGTGGGGTGGAGAGCCCAGGGTTGGGGTGCCAGGGGGTGCAGGTGGAGGGAGAGGCCAGGGCTGGGGTGGGGACAGCCAAAAATTTTTTTGCTTGCGGCGGCAAAAAACCTAGAGCCAGCCCTGGTGGCACCCATAGGTCCTTCTCCAGGCATGGCTGCATTTGGCTCCATTCCCCCGTGACGTCATTAACATGGGCGTTCCCTCAGGCGGGAGCATAGGCAGAGACGTGTAAACCCTGTGACGTCAATGTCAGGGAGTGGGACCCGGAAGCCCCGCGGCCTCTGCCTGCCTCATGGCGCCTGCGCAACATCCGGGTCCTGTGAGGTTGGGCGTCGCGGCCGCTGGGGGTTGGCCGCGAGTGAGGACGTGGCAGAGAGCAGGCCGGGGAGGGGGCACTTCCGGCGGGAGCGACAGGCCCGGGAACCGGAAGCGGGGCCTGGCGGTGGAGCGCAGCCGGGGCAGTAGCGCCGTGAGGGACGAACAGGAGCAGCTGGGTGAGTGGGGCGGGCCTGGGGTTCCGGGCAGAGCCCTGCACGGGGTCGGGGGCCCTTCCCGCGGGGTCAGCTGGGGGCAGCGGGCCCTTCCCCCTGTGGGGAGCGGCCTGTGTGTGGGGGGCGCTCGGGCCTGGCTCCCCGCGCCCAGGCGGCCCCCGTGAGCGCCTGGCGGGGCTGTGCCGAGGGCTAACAGGCGCCGCGCCCCGGGAATGGCTCACGTCGGGCCCCGCTTGCCAAGCCGCTTCCATCGCTTCTCGCCCTTCCCTGAGCTCGCACCGGCTGGTCGGTGTCTGCCCTGCGATGCGCCGCTGGGTCCCAGGCCCCGCTGGCGCTGAATGAAGGGGCGCTGCCCGCTCCCCAATCGGATGCGGGGGCCGGGCCCCATCAGCCCGGGCTGCTGCCCTTGTTGTGACATGCTCACTGTCAAATGTCTCACCGGCCGCAAAGGCAAGAGCCCAGGCGGAAACACTTAATCTCCTGTAATCCTCACGTCTCTTGCTGCAGCACTTGTATTGCACCGTTCAGCTGCCGGGTCTTTTAGGGTTGTGAGGGACAATTGACCCACGCAGGGACCTGATAATTCTTAAGTGATACCCAGCCTAAAGCTGTCCGGATCTGGGAATAGGATTTACTTGTTTGTTTTCGACTAATTTTGGAGAAGCAGGGAGCAAAGAGATAATACAAGTGTGACCCAAAACTAACGTGGTCTCTAAGGAGGAGATTATGTGGAATGAAGAGAATCTTCTTTTTAAATGGGGCTTGGAATGTGGTTGCATTGTGTTGCTAAGTTGCGCTGCTACTCTGAAACTTGTCTTTCACTTCCTTGAAACTGGTTTCTGGGTCAGGAAAGAGGTTGCTGTGACTTTTTGTCATAGGGTGTATTTGCATTAAGAATGCTTTGTAAATATTTTTCAGCATTGGCACAGAAAAATCCTTACAAGTTTTCCCAAGTGCGGACAACTCCAGAAATCTTGTCTCCACTAGGAAAATTTTGCAAAAACATCCCATTCTTGCTAACACCAGTCAGTAGTCCAGCTTCCCTGGTGATAGCCACACTGGGAGCCCTTGTGTAGATGGACTTCTTGCTGCTGCTGTTTTAAGCATTGTCTCAGCCAAACTTGCTCAGAGTATAAGTAATTGACATAGTGCTTGAAACACTGGTGGCTCATCTGCACCTGAGCTTTTAAAGTCACAAGACAAGTATCTTTACCTGGAAAGGAGATTCTGTCCAGGGCTACTGTTTTTGTTGTAGTCCAGGAGAGAATCTATTAGTTGAGCTCTAGTTTATGGGGACCCTAAAAAGTGATGTGAGCTCTCCGCAGGATGTTCCGGGAGGTCTTCACTGCTCAGTAATACAGAATTGTCCCATGTAGACTCTGGGAACTTGGGATTTGACTATTTTCTTCAGTGGGAAGCAGTAGGTATTTTGGTTGAAGGGTTGCGAGAGACCTCATACTGGCTAGGAACTCTGAATCACTGCTTTGGGAAGGGACTTTCCTTCATTCATCTATACACATCGGTGGCATAAGGGGGAAACGTCCTTTCTTACTACCTGTTCTGAAAGTGCAAATGCACACATTCCTATCTGTACATCTTATTTTGTTTTGGGATGGAGAGGTAATTCAGGAAGGAAGGAAGGAGCAGAATTATTCATTGACATGTCTGTTTAGAATTCATTGTAGCTGCAAGGACCTGTATGTTGCTATGGCCAGAGTACTAGGGTGGAATTGACTTGGAAGGGTGGTTGCCATTGATGTGGTGGAGCTGGCATGGACCTCAGATTGCTTTTCACCATGTATGTGTTGTGGTCTGGGCACTAGTGGTAAGAAGGTGTCTGAAGGATTATTTTATTTCTTTCATGACCTCTGTGACATTAGTACTTCTTTGACTGTTATTTCCTGACTGAAGGACCGTTTTCTTCATGTAGCATTCTTGTTGTTGGAAGGAAAGTCAGTAATCCTGGAGTTAGTTAATGGTAACTGGGAAAGGGTGGGATACAAAGAATGGCCAAAGTTGTCAACCTCAAAACCTCCACAGAAGAGACAAGGAAAGAACTCAGTGTCTGTCTCCTGTAGAAGTGAGTTTATATGTTGAGAATTTATTTTTAAGGCTGATATCCTCATTGCTGAGCAAGACTCCGAATAGTGACTGTCTAAAAGGCCACATGGAGAAGATGTGATGCACTGCGAAGCCTAGAAGAATGATTAATTTGAAGTTTCCCATCTTGCAAAAAGTGATCATTTATTGTGTGTTTTATGCTAGTACTCAAAATATGGTTTGTTTTGTGCCAAAATATAGAAAGGCATAGTCTGGTCTTGGAAAAAATATACTGCATGAAGGATGAGCAAAGAGATACAACATACAAGCAGAATATTTAGAGGAATGGCTAGTATAATTTTAGTAAGTTGCATATTTTGATTTTGGATTTCTGTATCTATAACTACCCTTCAACATATCCTCTCTCCCTGACCCTACCCTCATCTACAAATCTTAAACCGTGTTACAACTTTTTATCAACTGCACTAGTGTGTGTAATGTTCAGGGAAGCAAGTCCAGATAATTTCCTAGGCTGTAAGATGTGAGAATGACCCATGAAGTAGTTACTTATATGGTCAAGTTGCTGTGGAATCTTTTTGAGAAATAGTTGGGGTTCCATGCATGTCTCTTGAGCCCTGCATTCTAGAGATTAAGGGTGTAAGTAGACCCCACTAGCAGTCCTTTAGTTCTCCTCTCTCCTCTGTCTTGATCAAAAAGTGTCTTCAATATGACTAGGGTACCTTCTACACCTTCCTTGGATCTGCAGTGTAAAGTTCTGGGTTGAAAGGGGTTGTGTCCTCTTATAAAGGTGCCTGTAAAGGAACAGGTAACATGTTCCATTGATTTTAGGGTCAGAATCTTTGGATGGAGAAAACACCATCTGCGATTCCAGCAATTCCAATAAGCTGTCCAATAAGAAAAAGAGATACTGCCACAAAGATGCAGTTGGTTCCTTGGATGGATCTGGGCTGGTCAGATCTCTCTGACCAGACATATATAGGAGCCGACCCCCTCTGAAGGCTCTAGTGGAGGAGATTGTTGACCTACCTGGAACCTTCCTGGGTGTTAAGCCTTGAATTTCAGGATCCGTCAGATCTCTTCTCTCAAAATTTTGTCCAGAAAGGTTTTCTTTTCTGCAGATGAGCAATTGTCACCATGGAAACATCAGTTCTGAAGCAAACTTATGCTGTTATTAAATCTGTGAATTTCACTGTTTCTGTGGGATAAAGATTTGTGCCATGGACTTCTCTGATCTGAGGAAAACCAGTTCCTTCACTTTGCCACTCCTCTGCCTCAGGTGTGGTTTAGTTCAGGCATGCATGAGCATTTTTGGATCCTCTGGTGCCACCTTAGACTTTAAATCAGACCCAGAGGGAGAACATTCTGGTTATGGTCTGCCTTGAGATATTTTGGCCTTATTGTCCTATACCTGCTTTAGCAGTTTTTACAACGAGAGGTGAATACAAGACAGACATTTCCTCCAAAGAAAGTGAAGGCTCTTGCATGGACTGCTTGATCTTTTCCTGGATCAGTAGTTATATGATGTGCAGTCAGATACTTACTGAGGAGCTAGTAGGACAGTCCTAGGAAGTGCCCATTCTACCTCATCCCTTGAAGAAGCTCTCAGCTGCTTCATTTTCTCCCCTAATTGACACCAAGATTTTTCAGAACACAGCTCTGGAAGTAGACTAGCTCTGGCGATTATACTAATGGCTTTGACCAGAAAATCTCATATTTATTTGACAACTTGGAGTTGAAGGAGGAAGTAGTTCTCTGTCAGAGGATTTGCTTAAACTGGCCAGAGAAGTCTGAAATCCGTCTGCCATTGCTGCTTCAGTTTCTAGGAAGCTTGATTCTATATATTGGGTCATGAGAGAGGTATCTAAATTGGTTTTTCTAGCTTTCTAGTCCAAGCCTGCCTGATCTTGATTGCAAGTGTTATATCTAATGCTTGAGTAAGTGTCAACCCAGCCCTGAAAACAAGGAGTCAAATTTGATATGGTTGACCAGAAGGCATAATCCTCTGTAGTCCTGATTCCTATGCAGTCTGAGAATCCTTTCTGACCTTTTTGGAGGAGGCAAAGATATTTCACAGTGGCTTTTTCAGCAACAAGTACTGCTGCACCAAAGCATGCCTGAGAATGTTCGAGAGACGCTCTGAATCAATCTCTGAAGATCCAGATCCTCACTCTTCTTCCTTTTGGAGAACACTGTGGTCCCAGTTTTTCAGACATGGGAAGCAATTTCTTTGTACCGCTGAGTCTTGACAATTGAGTGGGGATACTCCCTTCAGTTCAAGGCCATGTCAAAATACAGCCTCTGCTTCCCTTTTCTGGGATATCCCTCACAAGAAACTGCTGGAAGTAGAGGTCTTGTCCCTGTTGAAAATGGTGAGCTATAGAAATGGTGCCAGTACCTTACTGAAGGAAGGGCTTTTATTCCTGCTATTTCCTTTCCCTCTGTCCCTTTCAGAAAGGTGATCCAGACTGGTGGGACCAAGTCCGTTTTCAGTTCTGAAAGGGAACTGACAATAGTTTTGTCTCCTCTCAACCAATACATAAACCATTTTCAATACCCAATGTAAGGGACTCGTTGATGAAAACCATTTCATGCAGTTTACTATGTAGATTTTTCTTAGACGAGAACTTAAACTGAATTTCAGTCTGCTCTGTGCAGATGTTAAAGAATCAATGATTAATTGTAAGAGAGGGATTTGGCCACCAAGTCACTCTACATTTCTCCTTCATCATCAATATACACAGCAACGTGATTGTATATTGTGCACGCTGGTTGTCTTCTGCCCCTGCATCCTATAGCCTTTGCCAGTTCAATGCTGTATAAACTACAGGTTTGGGATGGAAGATATTAATGTGCGCAAACTTATTATAGTGGACTCTGCTTAATTGGGACACTTATTGGGATGTCTTACAAGAAACTGAAGTAACCTAATGACAGGTTTCAGA